AACATTGCGGGCCATTAAAGATATTAAGAGTCGACATAATTTTGGCACACAGCTTATCGCGCATGTATTCTCGCGTGCATTTAAAACACACGCGGCGTGCGGCAATCGCGCGCGAGGTTATGTACCGCAACTTTTAGATACGCTATTCGACGTAATATCGCCGGAACGTCGTGGTGTATTATGCGAGGCTGGATGCTTTACTTTACGTTACATAGAAGGCTAGGTAAACGCAACTTTACTCTAACTCTGCTGCCACATAGTATGCATATATAGAGCGTGCACACAGTTGCTATTCAACTTCCCATCTCCATTCCAGCTCACCAATGGATCACTGATGGTTCCGTTTCTTTCGCCGTTGGTCTTCGTATACCCGCGGCGTCTAGTGTAAACCAAAGTGTGCTACGCGAATGCGATGGTACGGCTGAAAGTTCGGCCGGCGGACAAAAATATATCTGGAGTTTCGGCATACTTATTTCAGCACAGAGCGAGTCACGGAGATAAGTTAGACAGCGAGCTTGTATTAACAAAAGTAACAGCCGCAGAACTTTAGAACCGGGGGGGTACGTAGAAAAACGTAAGCAGCGGAAACTTAAGCGATAGGCAAATTGACTACAGTCAATTGTCCCTGCATAGAAAAGAGCATTTCTTGAGCTCTAATTGGGACTCGGTCTGATTTCTCGAAGGCTGCGCCTTCGCACAATTTGGAAGTTTCCAATACGCAATTCTAAGCGGGATATCTAAAGTTTCCTCAATATTTTTTCTGGCTTTCATTTTACGGCAGAGAATTTCATTTCTTTTAATTTATTATTTTATTAAATAGAACAGTTGGTATACCAAAATGGAGCTCTCTCTTTGTACCGGTACCGGTATACCGACGTTATTGACTGAAAAGAAGCGCGAATTCCCACGACATTTCTGTTTTTCTACGCGTTTCCGGCCTCAGAGAATTTTGTTTTGCTAGAAGAAACTTGTTTTGCAACGATAGTCTATGAATAATTTATATTTATACGTCATGCTTGCTACTTTTGAAATGTTGAAATCCGGGACAGAATGGAATTATATTACGCGAGATTTGCGCGATTGGCACCGATTCCATCAAGTGTTTTGACGAGAAACGTTTCGCGTGTATTATTGCTGCGCGCGTTCGGTGACACAAGAAACGAATCGAGCTTACGTACTGGAGAATATACGTACGGTGGCGGTGTTGCACAAACATAAACGGTCAGAAACGTGACTGCGCAACTAACCGAACGGAACGCGCCGCACGTGCAGCACCGTCTTTTCACATTATTCGCGATACTAAGTGCGTTTCTGACCTACAGATGAAGTTATAATTAGATACTCGTCTCAGGCAAACGTACGCGGTGGATATATATTCGAGCTCTCTTGCCGGTCTTGGTTAATAATTACATGCTCCCGTGAGCAATCCGCGCGCGTCCAGATATGATTCTCGCTGGAAGCTTATTATCTACGAACTTCAGCGGGATAAAAATGGCGGGGTGATATAATGTTATCGCTCGCCGGTTAGTACCAATCAATGGAATTATCGAGGTCATTTAAATGCACGTTAAGGGAGGACGTATTACCCTCTTTGCAAAGACCGCGATAAAGAACGAAGAGGGAGGGTAAACTTTGTAGAAGGCGTAGCCCTGTATAAGAAGATATTGGGGGACGAGGATGGATATAAGGGATTGCGCAGGGGGTGGTGGTAGTCACGAGCCGCGACGTGTTACCAGCCGAGCCCTTGTGAGGGGTAGGAAGCAATTATAACACTAAATTAAGGACGAGGAAAATTTGGTAATTAGGAGGATTCAAAAGGGATAAAATTGGACGGTCGTTCCACCCTCGTCAGATTCTTCGATTACCAGGCTTTTGTAAGATCCTCTGAGCAGCTGAGGGAGAGTGTCAATTTTTTCCATGTCCAATCTCTAGTTCCGCGACAGAGTTTTATCGTCGCGATATTTACAGCGACAAAATGAGTCACGGGCGACTTCGAGAAAATAATGTTCTGTGATTTAACTCACCGCTGCCGTCATCGCGTTTATACTAATATGAAGCTCGGCACGATAACCAGTAAAACGCGCACATTTCGCGCAGTCTGGCCGCAGAATTGCGACGACGTTTTACACGCTGACGCGTCGTTGTCCGTCACGATGGGCGCCGCAGCGCGAACCACGAATCCCCCGACTGAACCCCCTAGGCAGCAGAATATATCTCCGTTGGATTACATTGGACTACCAATAGGATAAACACAGGCACACGATGCGCCACAGTTGCAAAAGCAAGAGAGAAGGGGTGGGAGAGGGGATGGATGAAAGAGAGAGAGAGAGAGAGAGAGAGAGACAGAGAGAGAGAGAGAGAGGGGTGAGGGTGAGAGGGTGAGTGAGTGAAGGGGGCGGGAGAGAGGGAGAGCGAGGCAGAGAACGAGAGAGAAATACTGGGAGAATGAACCGAAATGAACAAGAGGGAATGAGATGGTTGACCTGTATAGTGGAAGTGGGTAGAGGGTAGTAGATGGCAGAGATGGCGAGTTTGAGAGTAGGGGAATCGTTGAGCTATACGGGGATGGGGATTGGAGGTCGACGCGTGCGGGCATTGCGATCCGTCAGACCGGGTAAACCAAAAGCATAAATTTAATAGGTTTCACCCCCTTCTTCGAGTTTTATGACTCCACCGAATTTCCCATTAAATAAACAAGCGCGATGTTCATTACGGGGCACCGATTCTCGTGTAATTCCGACCGATGGTCAGCGCGTGATGCTGAAAATTGTCTCGAGAACAATTTAGGATTCCGATGCGTTCGACGATATTTCAATGAAATATCCGCCGTAACGTCAGCTTTTTGAGCGAGCTGGAACAGAGACGTGTCCACGGAATTCATGCATTATCTATCAACCGCGGAAATGTGAAACACTTTTCTTCCTCTCCCTCCCCCTCCTCCCTCTCTTTCTCTCTCTCTCTCTCTCTCTCTCTCTGTGACTCTCGATATCGCGGGTGGCTTGTTAAATAATATCTGACGCGCTTCCCCAAAAGCGTTCTCTTTCCGATCGAACACTTTTCGCATAGGTTTTGATCGAAAACAGACAGTTATCGTACACATGGACGTATACGCGGAACCACTGTAACTCCTGCTTGCTGATAATTAGCGCATCCATCAGCCGCAGCAAGCCGCCAGCTAATGCCGATCGTACGTTATCGTTATCATGGTCTCCCCATTTTGCCTCACCGTACTGCAGCACCTCCACCGTCCTCCCTCCCCCTTGCCCCTCCTTCTCCTCCTCCTCTGCCTCTCTTCCACCCCCCTCGAACCCGTCTATTTGTACGCGGTGCGTATGAGAGAGCCACCTCCGGTGACACCATCACCAACAGAGACCCGGTCTCCACCAGCCTGTGCTCTCCAATCCTATACGAACGGGCAACGCATGAGCTGTCGATACCGCCAATAATCTAATAACCAGTCACCGCCAATGTGTCGTAAGTCACCGGTCTGCAGATTTTCACCAGTACGACCGGTACGGAAGCAATAACACGAAATCCCTTTGGATTATCAATTCATCGAACTGGGGCCGTCTGGGCTGCTGGAAGAACGAGACCTTCCGCGCTATGATGGGAATATGAGATTTCGCGACCGATTTACGATCCCACCGCGAGACCACATCGATACGTTCAGGATTGTTCTAAATATATATATATATATATATATATATATATACATATATATATATGTACATATATTTGTATGTGTGTGTCGATGGGCGATATCGAGAGACGCGCGGCACGCGAGGTAACCGCGGTGTCATCTGTTTAGGTGATTTGTCTAATAGATGGTTTGTGTTCGTTATTATGGCTTCGTTAGTTGACGTGATCAGTCGGTCCTTTTCGATCTAGTTGCTTTTCGCAGAAACGCGGGAATCACGATTGGCAATCGTGAGGTCACTGACGAAACATCAATAATATTTATATATTCATATCTCTTCGAAGATCCATCGAGCCCCGTATCAATCGTGCAGGATTAAACTATTAACGGCCATTGTTGTTTATCATCTTGACGACTATCCAGCGCGCTTGTTGATGAAAAACGTCGATCGTCCGGTATACTAAATTTTGCATGCAAATGGCACACCGCGAGCGCGTGTCGCGGATATACATTATGCGAATATAAATTATGTCTGGAAAATATGAAACGATTTGTCCACGGTCGAATATGCAGAAACGGTCAGCGTGAACGGGACGCTGCAAACAGCGTACGGCGGCGCTGCGATTTTTCGTTTTTTGCGCTGCGGCGATGGCGGCGGCGCACGTGCTGAATGGCCGCAATCTTCTATCGTCGACATTATCTTCTCGCACGGCCGGATCATATCGAGTATATTTGCTCACGTGTTAAGTGGGGTGCCGGCCATGCGTTCTCGCGTGCGTGCACGGACACGAGCCCGTAGTGGTTACCTAGTTCAGTCCTTAAGTTAGATATTATCGGCAGAGGAGGCGATTCGATTGCGTGTAGCGGAGCATGGTGTAGCGCTGATATAGAACTACTAAACAGGTCGTAGATCAGTTCGGTTAGTTATAACAGCGGTCCTACTCCTCCCCCCCGTCCCTCCCGCCCTGCCAACCCCCTCTCCTCGTCGTTGAACCAATTCCCCATGGTGTTCTGGATCATTTGGCGGCCCGCGGCCGTGAGATGCGCGCATGCACCGGCAACAATGCGCTATCACGATTGTATAATTCGCCCTACGACAGTCCATAATACCCAGAAAAACGAGCCGGCCATCGAGCTGTGAAATACAGCCGCGGTCGGGCGTTTTTTCATTTTTAGCGTAGTAATAATTTGCCTCCGCGAACAACGACGTTATCACGCAGATAGTATCGCCAATCGGAGATTGAAGCGATTCGTTAGCGAGACAAGCGCAACGGGAGACGGAGTCTTGCGCGCGTAGATAAATCCCGACGAAAAGTTATCACGATTTCATGCGAGCTCGTTTTTCCTTTTTTTTTTGTTGCAGGTAAGGATAATATCGCTAAGCCACATTGGACATGGTTGCAAGGTGAGTTTTGCTTTTATTGGACTTTTCTCCGAATTATTATTTTCGATTGTTCAGTAATGTTCTCCCCCTCCCTCCTCCCTCTCTCCCTCCCTTTGTTTCTAATACTCTGGAAATCGATTCTACCGTTCTGTGGGAAAGTCAAAAGTTTCGAGCACCTCTTCTTTATCAAATTTATTCCGTTTGGGTTCTCGAGAGCCACGCAGATGTCATGCTCGCTCTGCGTCCCGTACCCCGCATCTCATGTTGGATTACTCTCCTCTCTGTTGAAATCTTCTCTGTCGCGATCGACATGGAAGGTGAACTTCTAAGAATAAAGAGTCGTAGAGTGAATTTTCATCGTGGGGGCTCGGACGAAATCGTCCCTCGCGAGAAGACAGAAAAGGACCGCGTAGAACAGCTGCGAGTGCCTCAGCGAGGCCACGGAAGCGCGACGTCTGTTTTTTAAGGGTTTAACGGGCGGGGACACACGCGGAGAGAGAAAGAGAGCGCGCGCGAGAAGAGAAAGTGCACGGAACGATGCCTTCGAGGGTGATCAATAAATATTGGCTCTTGGGGATGGAATTGGGGTAGCCGAGTATGGCTACGCCGACGGAGGGTGAGAGAAAGGACAGTCGTGCTGCTGCGGTTGCCGCCCCTTTCCTATGGCACACGACGTATGGCAGAAATAACCACTTGGTATAGGCAATGGAGAATCGCTCACGGACCGTAATTCCCTCAACCTCCGTGATCGATACTTACTTTAAGCTGTTCTGCTACGTAGCGAGAGGTAGGGACCGGTCCGATTTATGGAAAAACTCGCGGTACGGGTTTCGTAAAAAAAAAAAAAAGAAAAAAGAAAGAAAGAAAGAAAATGACGAAATTCTGATACACCCTGATATTTCTCATCGTGTCGAACAGAAAATCGTGACTCGACGTTATTACGTGCCTCATGATAATTTCACGACGAGGAAAAGATAATATCGATGGAGTTACAAAATTGTGTATAAATTGCTGCCGGTCGAAGTACCAAAGTACTAATTTTAACAATAGCAGTAATCGTTGAGTCATTGTTGAAGCCGTAATTAACGAAAAGAAAAAGAAAATTTCATGGACGAATAAAATTTTAAATGTATTTCCAGTTTCCAGTTACCTCTATTAATTTTTGCCGTATGATAATGCGTTCATTTCCTATCTCGCTCAATTGTCTCTACCATTTTCCAGTCACTGCTAAATAGAAATCCTCGTACCACGGCCGTAGAGAGGTTTCCGTGGATTCGGTTAGAATTTGGATGAGGAAGCTGGATGCTTTCCGAGGCGTGAAATGGCTGCGTTAACCGCTTGCACGACTTCAACCTGGGCGAGGAAAGGGGCGGATACTTTCCATTCTTCTCTCCCTCCTTGGGCAAGGCTACAAAATGCTTGCTCCGTATTTTCAAGATTTTCGAGTTTGGAGAATATAAATAGCAACGCTGTGTTTTTGTCTGACACATCTCTTATCGGAAAAAATAATTCTTTGATAAACTTTATGCTGATGCGCTTCCTCTTACGTTACTTCTTTAAATTACCAAACGTCGACGGGAAAATATTTATCGATGAAACAGTGCTAGTTTGTATAATCTGTTTATCGTTAGCGATATATGAACTTCCTGCATTCATTATATCTTAATGTTGACTTGTAGTTTTCCGCTGTTCCTCCGCTGTTTATGCTATCGGTGATCTTTCTTACACAGATTGTCATGCCACGAGATTTATCGGGCTGTCCTCGACATTCTCTCGTCGTTTCCTAGTTCGCCGTTCGGCGTGAATACCAAAATTCTGAAATACGTGTTTCTCCGGCAAAGGCGTTTGGAAGATTTAACAACTTCCTTTCGTGAAATCATCATCCTTCTTTTTCTCCCTCAGCATTCTCCTTTGTTCTTGCTGTTTTCGGGGTTGCCTCCAAACACGTGGATGGTAATATCATTGTACGGATCTCACGAGGAGGTATAAGATGAAAGTTATGTGCTTCGCTATGCGCGAGGGAATCGTAGATCAGCGGTCGGACGTCTGTGGGGACGCAGAAACGAACGTGAACGAACGAAGAACCACCACCGCCAACCCCTGTCGTACTTCTGCGTCCCCTCCTCCTCAAGGAGCCAACCTGTCTCTACGCTTCCCTTCTACCAATCACACAACAGACTTTTCGTCTATTTTTCTCTCTTTCTCATTCAACATTCGCATCTCACTGTCTTTCCGAACCCCGCGACTCCTACACTCTTATTTAGATATAGATCCTTGTACACAACCATATGTACCTACCGATATGTATACATATGTGTATGTGTCTGTTTGTATATATAGGTGTGTTCAACGTAGCATATTATATATCATTGGTACATATACCCTATGTAATATGCCAAAGCAAGCGCATAAAGCGACGGGCACATAAGTATGTGTGCACACAATACTGGGTGTGGCAGCCGTGGCAAACTATTATTTCAGCCTATGGAAGTATGTTATGATCCCTTAGAATCAAAAAGTCAAATTTTCTGCATTGAGGATTCTTGTATTGGAAATACTGGTTGGATTATATGTTATTCGACGCGAAAACAAAACTGCCATATTTCTTCTTCATGTCAAGAATCGTTGATATTTTCTGATCCAACGCTACGTAAAACTGTAAAAATACAAGGTTGGAAAATAAATTAGAAATAGAAAATAATTTCGTGTGTAAATACGACGTTTTCTGCAAAATAATTGAACCAACCAACAAATGTATCGTTAACATAAAATAACGTAAGCAAACGAGAGTAGTTTATGATTTGTAATAATCGTTCCGAACATTTCGACGCTTCGCTAAAAGCTTGTAATTTAGCATCTCCCCCAAGTAATTTTAAATTGATTGTTAATTCAAAAAACACCGCGTAAGTTGTGGTTGTTAATTTTATACGATCGAGAAAATTAAAAGTAGCGAATGATGTTTCCATCTCACAGGGGACCATTCTATTTTTTCGTTGGTGGCACGTGAATTAAGTCCCTTCGCTATCTTCAGTCCTCACGTAAATTACGCGACGCTCCATGGAGAGAAATAGCCGCCTCTTCTTTTCCCTGCACCAGCTCTTTCTACTTTATTTACATATAGATACGAAAGCCATTGAGCTGGTAGTACTTCCCTTTTTATGGGTTGATTCATTCGGCATCGATAAAATTTGCCTGCTTGAAATTATTGTCAAGTTCATCTCAACCCGCAAATATTGTTAAAAACCTTATTAATTTTTAATCATATGCTATGGAAATAAAATTTGAAATTGAAATTTATTACTAATTTTTTTATTTTCTTGTTTTATCTTTTATAAATTTTCACACATGATGTATAATTTATTATATACCGGAAGTCGTTAACGCGAGTGCAAATATTTTATACGGTAGAAAAATATTTCGTATTGTGATTAATTTCAATTGGATTATGCGCCATTTAAATTAAAGTTAGTGACTATACAAATATATTTTGCATTCATTATATGTATCAATAGAAAATTTACTACTTTTGTACTTATGTTTGATATTCAAACGGGCCGGCGCAACTTGGAACCTATTATGAACAACCACATAAACATCCCTTGGCGTTATCAGTTGTCGGACGCCGGGGCGCCGGATATTGTCGCATCCTGCGTTTTGCTCTCTCACTCCTCAAAACGGTGTGTGTGTGTGTATGTGTATGTGAGAAAGAGGAATAGAGATAGAGAGAGAGAGAAAGAGAGAAGTGCTATTGGAATAAAATATAGAAGGTAGAATGGAATAGCACAAACTAAATCGCAAAGTTAATTATCTCTCTCCAATGACCATATTGTTATAGAACATCGCATAAATATTACCATCTCCTATTAGAATCACTCATATATTTGGTTCCTTGTTTTCAAAGATGAAACGTTAAATTTTACAGAATCCCGAGCGAAAGTTCTGCGGATAGTAAAAAACGGCAGGGAAAAAAAAGAGTCCTCTTGTTGCGTACGAATGATCGAAACGTGAAGTTTCATGTTGCCAATATATCTTATCCATCTGAAAGAAGTCTGCGAGCAGGCAGGATGGTATCCGACTTTTACTTTTTTAAGACCGTCGAATTTTTTGTCGTTTTGTTCAGCGTAGGTCTAAGGTTCGTCTTGAAAGGTCGTAAAAAACTCGAAAACAGACTTTTCCCAGGTGAAAGTTGTGCTCTCCCTATTAGGAATGGGATCTGCTATTTTTTTCCGTCGGAAAAAAAAGAAACCGACGCAGTATAGCGAAAGTTTGGGACTTCAATGACAGTTGACACATTTTTCACCTTCCGGCACATTTTTTATCTTTTCGTCGCTGGCCTCCTTTCTTTTATAGTTCGAAGAATGTAAAATATAAACTGATGCAACATATATATAAAAATTGGAGATAGAACTATTCTGATACTATATCAATATCAAATCATTGTTATACATTAATTTCCATTTTTATATCACCCTTTACTACAATTTTAATATAGTGGGGAAAAATAAATTATGCAATCGAAATGCTTTTTTAGCTTTTACATCCAGGTTATATCATATCAATTAAATATCCCAAGAAATATACACATGACGTAAGATATCTATTCTTATTAAAAATATTACAGAAGGAAAGTAACATTATCGCATAACTATTTCTTTTATCTATACAACCATATTTCATAAATATAATTTAAGAGTCACACTGCCTCTCAGAGTTTGATCTTCAAAACCATTTTGGCATGTAAATATCAGTGTAAAGGCGAACTAAAATTTATATTATTTTAGAGGATACAAAATATATATTGACATATTATAGGTAAACAATTTATCTTAAAAATTCACATACGCACATTATCAAAAAGGTTCGCGTAAATAATTTAAATTAACACGCTAACGACTTATTTAATCTGTCGGAACAAAATATTATCTAGATACCACTTTGATAAATTATTAGGAATATTAGGAAAAATTAATCCCGTTGGTGTAAGTCAAGTTATTTGTAATTAATCCCATTCATCTTATCTT